ATGAAAGAAGAAATACAAGCAATTGAAAGAAACTCAACATGGGAGTTGGTTGATGTTCCAAAAGACAAGAATGTTGTAGGACTTAAATGGGTATATCGAACAAAGTATAATGCTGATGGAAGTCTTCAAAAGCACAAAGCTCGTCTTGTTGCGAAAGGGTATTCACAAGAATACGGTATAGACTATGAGGAAACGTTTTCCCCCGTGGCTAGATTCGAGACAGTGAGAATTATTATAGCATTGGCTGCACAATTTCAACTACCTGTTTTTCAATTTGATGTGAAGTCCGCCTTCTTGAATGGTGAGTTAAGTGAAGAAGTGTATGTAGCTCAACCTCAAGGATTTGTTGTTAAAGATGCTGAAAATAAAGCCTACAAGTTGCGAAAGGCTTTGTACGGTTTGAAGCAGGCTCCACGTGCGTGGTACAGTAAGATTGATTCTTTCTTTCAAGAAAACGGATTCAAAAGAAGTGAGAATGAGCCCACTCTTTACCTCAAGCAACAAAGTAATAGAGAATTCTTGTTAGTCTGTCTTTACGTGGATGATATCATCTATATGGGGTCATCTAAGTCCTTAATTGATGATTTTAAATCTTGCATGATGAGCACATTTGAGATGACAGATTTAGGGTTGTTAAAATATTTTCTTGGGCTTGAAGTGCTGCAAAGAAAAGATGGAATTTTTGTATGTCAAAAGAAGTATGCTACGGACCTGCTCAAAAAGTTCAATATGACTGGTGGTAAAGTATCAACAACACCAATGAACATCAATGACAAGCTACAACATGAAGATGGATCTGATAAAACAAACTCAAATGTGTTTAGAATCTAGTTGGTGGTCTGAACTACCTAACACATAGTAGACCGGACATTTCTTTTCCTGTTAGCATAGTATTAAGGTTTCTTCACAGCCCTACAAAGTTGCATCTTGGTGCAGCCAAGAGGATTCTTCATTATATAGCAGGTACCAAGAATTATGGCATCTGGTATTCAAGAGTTTCTGAATTTAGGCTGGTTGGCTTCAGCGATAGTGATTGGGCTGGGTGCTTAGATGATCGCAAAAGCACATCAGGCAATGTTTTCAGCTTTGGTTCCGGAGCTGTAACATGGAGTTCTAAGAAGCAAGATACAGTAGTTTTATCGTCATCAGAAGCTGAGTACATAGCAGCAAACGCAGCAGCTTGACAAGCCTTATGGCTTCGAAAAGTTCTTGTTGATTTGTGTGTTGAGTAAGAAGATGCAACAGAGGTATTTTGTGACAACAGATCAGCCATTGCAATGGCCAAGAACCCTGCTTTACATGCTCGTACGAAGCATATAGATGTGCAATACCATTTTATTCGCAAGTTGATCACTGATGGAAAGATTAAACTGAGTTTTTGTGGGACAAATGAGCAGACAGCAGATATATTCACTAAATCTCTTCCTCAAGGCAAACATGAGTTCTTTAGAATGCAGCTCGGAGTATGCAACTTTGAATCAAGGGGGAGTGTTGGTTAATTGATTCAAATAATCACTGCCATGTGTCTTTAATTACTGCATTAGTAGAGTCTTAAAAGTTGTTTTTCAGTTACAAAAGTCAAGAGTCCTAGTCTGTCTTTTTATCTTTCTTTCAGTTCATGTTTTTGTTTCCTATTTAAGCTTTGTAATTTCTCAGTTTGGCAGTGAAATATTATCCTTTTTTTTCTCTTCTCCTATTTACATACAACATCCTAGCCATCACATCATTTAAATAGGGCCTAAGGCCAAAAATCTAGGATTTGAGCCCCAGATGTCACCACGTAATTTCCAATACATGACCACGTCGTGGCCATTAAAAATGATCACGACTCATAAGACGTTTCCATGTCGTGATGATCCTTCTTCACCGCGTCATGGCCACCAAAAATTCACAACATTGAAGCATAAAACTCATACCTAAAAACCGAATGTTACAAGACTCACATAGAATATATTTTGATTAGATTTCTACCAAAAATATTAAAATAATAACAATACACACATTGAATTTTGAGATATCTAGATTTTTGATTTTTCAACACAACAAATAATTACATAGACACACACAATGACAAAAGAATAAAAGTAACGGGGTAGTTGTTGTTATTTTTGGACTCACTTTTTGGGTTTACCAATGTGCTTTACAAAAGTTCATCAAATAAAAATTACAATGAACATCGGTATACAATATATATAAAAAGCTAACCAACAACTAAATCTAGCAAAGCTAAATACAAAAAGCTAAGCAAAAGCTAAATTGAGATCAAATGGGATAATGTGTCTAAATATTGAAGTAAGATGGCATGGAATGCAATAGATAAACATGAAGGATATAAAAATAGCAAGGTTCTAGTTCGTATTCCATTACTTGGCAAATTGGTATACTTAGAAAATAATACGCTCGTGGGGGACGGTGTCTAAAAGTTTAAGGCTCAATTGTTCCTCGCGTGTCATTCTTGCAATAAGTCGATTCATTTGCATAGATTACTTTATACTCTATCTATATGTGTATAGAAGAGCATGTGACAAATGAAAGTCCATATGAGAAATTATGTTGTTTTTAAAAAACTTACACAAAACGCGAATTCCCTAAACTAAATGTGATGCAAGAAATAAGAACAGAAAATAAGAAAGTAAAGTATTTTTAGGTTTATATAAAAATAAGGAAAATGCATTCAACCCTAATCTAAATGCAACCTAAACTATTAATGCATGAAAAAATGAAAAATAAAAAGAAAACACCCCACCAGAAGCTTAAAAATAAGCATTGTCATTTATGTTTGGGGAAAAGTGAAATGCTCTAAATGGGGGATTAGGGAAATCCTATAAATGCCTTTCTTGGAGTCCCATGTTTGTGTTCCTTCATCGAGTCTAAATTTGAAAAATCAATTTCAGATTTTAAATTTGAATCTAAGGATGAACATGAGCTTTAGAATAAGAATATGGGGACAAAAATATGAATATGAAAATCGGGCTTCAAAATCCTTCATTGAGCTTCCAGGTTTTGGTGGCGGTGGCTGGTCCTTTGAGTAACAACCAAGATCTAGGGTAGAGGTGAAGGCGGTAGCAATGACGATGGTTGAAGGTGGCAGATGCTTCTTTAGAGATTGTTTTAGGATTAGGTTGAGCATGGGTAATATGTAAGGTAGGGGTATGGTTACATATTTATTTTAATTAAAATTAATTTTAAAAATATTAAATGGAAATAAAAATTATCTGAAAAATCAAACATGGTTAAATAGTAATTTCAAATAAGTTATGAAACTAACTGAAACCACAAGGACCAACCATTCAAAAAATAAAACATATGGACCTAGCGCATAAATGTTTTGATATTTGTGGTTTTGACAAACCATAGAGACTAATCGAGTAGTTTTGTTTGTATTTTAAATAAAATTTTGAGTAAATTACACATTTGGTCCTTATGGTTTGTCTAATTTTTCATATATTTGATCCTACTATTGGATTTTTGGCAGAGTTGTGGTCTCAATAGTTTGCGTTTTTTGCAAAGGAAGTCCTAAGGTCGTTAAAACTAGCCCTTTGACCGTTGTTTTATTAAATATGATAATTTTTCCCTTAACCCATCTCCACCCTACAAGTACCAAAATTGTAACATCGTTTTATAAATTTTTAAAAAAAATATTTATTTATTATTTTACTAACCCACCCACCCCCTTCTTACCGGTCCCCCACCACTCTTCCAGAACAGTCACCACCAACGATATTTCATTTTTCCGGCGACAGAAATGTGTTCACCTTAATCAATGGTCACCATACACCACCATCACCAATCTCTAGCTAATTGCACCTCCATTCAACACTGTCACTTCCTTTACTTTATATCTCAACATTAAAATGAACGATGTAAACTAATTGGCATAGATTTTTAACAACAAAATTTTATTAAAATAAAATCAGTAGAAAGCTAGCAAGTACAAGAGTTTATAAGATTACAATCAAATGAGAATAACAGAGGATAAGACCACAACAAAACCAACATAATAGGAAGCTCAGCTGACAATATAATAAAGATCAACTAATCAACCCAACGCCCAAGGTTTGTGAAGTGTAGGAAGCACCAAAACACAACAACACCAACACACTCAAATTGACAATGTACTTTCAGGGTCAACTATCAAAGGCCATGCACTTTAAGCTTTAGGGTACAACATCAGAGACAATTTACCATACACGAGTTTATAGCCACAAGATGGAGTATAAGAAACCAAACAATAACATGAACCACTTTGACCAACAACAACTTGCTCGTACAAAGGTGGACACTCGAACTAGAAGCAAAGTCGAATAGAGAAGCTAAACGAAACTACCCGAATAGAGTAGTAGGTTCCATGGTGTTACCAAGGCGATAAACAGCAGTCGTTATGGCCTATATATATATATATATATATATATATATATATATATATATATATATATATAGAGAGAGAGAGAGAGAGAGAGAGAGAGAGAGAGAGAGAGAGAGAGAGATTATGTGTGAGAGAAAAAAAAAGAGAAACTTATAATAGACACTCATAGAGAGGAGAAGAGAGAGATGTTGGAAGTCAGAGAGAGACGTCGGAGGCAAGAGTAAGAAAGATAGTGTCGTATAGAGGTTGAAGCCTCTTTGTGTTGATATTTCCAATAATTTATAGAAATGGTCCCTGAATTATCAATAAATGTCAAAATAACTAAGAAAAAAGAGGGGAAATCTCGTCATTTTACACCTATTTAACGGAGCATCTTGGACGGAGTTAGCCCTAGGGATCACCATTGCAACTTTTGGAAAGTACATGAACAACTATGTAAAAAATCCAATAGTAGGACCAAATGTGTGAATTTGGTAAAACCATAGGGACCAAATGTGTAATTTATTCTAAGTTTTTTATAACATACATGGATGTCGACTAGTATGAGACATCATGTAAGCGAAGGATGCTATTTTTTATATTTCGTAAGAATACAGATACATTATATATAATAAAATTAATAAAAAATAAATTTTGATCGGATATTTGTGCATTTAAAACTCTCTTTAAAAGCTAAAACCGGTTCGCCGTGAGCTGGTGTCTGCCGGAGTTATCTCATCTCCATTCTCCATCTCCCTTCCCTTTCATTCCTCCCTGTAATCACACACACTCTCTCTCTCTCTCTCTCTCTCTCTCTCACACACACACACACACACATACATTCTTTTAAATCACGAGATCCTCTCCCTTTCTTCCATGGCTCTCTCTGGTGTATCACTATCCCATCCTCGGTGGTTGTATTTTAATGGCTATCACCCACATTTCTAACATCACCACTTTTACATACTTCCTCTCTCTGCTCTGCTGCTTTTAATTCTAAAGAGAGGAAGAGAATCAGGCTGAAAATGGCGCATTCCGTTAAGCGAATATCCGATAGCCCAAAATCAGTTACATTCGACGTCGGCAATACCAACAAACCCGACTCTCGTGAACTCAATTTTGGTTCACCTATTTCGCCCTTAAGACCTGGACCAGCGGCTAGCAGTAGCTCGAGTTCATCCGGGTCAGTATCAGGTCGGAATGAAAATAGAATTCACTTTCGATCAGCTTCTAGAAGGGCAGATTCAGGTGGTAGGATTAAAAACCACTCCGGCGAGTTGTCGGTGAATAGTTCTCCGAAAGCTTCAGCAGGTGGAGGTGCCTCATCTTCATCAAAAAAATCGGGTCACACCCGGTCAAATTCCTGTGGAGGAACTGGCGGCCACCCACCAATCAACTCTGGTGGAAGCTCCGCTACTTCTCCGGCCACGAATGTACTTCCAACCGGCAACATTTGCCCGACGGGGAAGATATTAAAGACGGGTATGATGACATCCCGGAGCTCCAAATCAGACGTATTAAGTCTCGGAACCAGCAACTACGGCCATGGCAGCATATTACGAGGCGGCTCCACCACTAAGCCGACCGGAACTGAACCCCCTGTTTCGATTATTTCAAATTCCAATACTTCAAGGAGATTATCGATGGACCCTGAAAAGCTGAGAAAGGTAGGAAACGAACACTACAAAAGGGGAAACATCAAAGACGCCCTGAGTTACTACGATCGCGCGATAGCGATCTCGCCGGAAAAACCTGCCTACCGTTGTAACCGTGGAGCCGCATTGATGGGTCTGAACAGGTTGAATGAGGCTGCGAAAGAATATGAAGAAGCCCTTAAAATCGATTCTGGATACATGAGAGCTCATCGTCGTTTAGGATCTCTTCTTATTAGGTGAGAATTTAAAAACAATCAATCATTTTCATTATGCGTAAATTATCAAGAAAGTTCTCCTCTTATCTCCATTATTACTCACTAATACTATTGTACTTTTTCTTGTTTAAACTCAAAATTCGCCTAATATAGAATATGATTGAATATTTGAATCACATTAATTACAAACAAAAAACATAAATTCTCAAAAATCTTGAAATTGTTAGTAAATTAAAGTTCTCATGACATCCACATCCTCCCTTTGTTCTGTGAATGTCTTTACAGTTGTTCAATTAGTTTCTATTATTGGTTTTTTGCATAAATCTGGATTAAAGTTTAATTCTGTAAAAGGATGCTGCTTTTTTCTTTGGTGGGGTTGCTTTAGATTTTGATGTATGTATATATGTCATAATCTTGATAATGGGTGTTGTTATTTAATGTTTTCCCATTGTGACCTTATGTTATTCTTGATCATGAATTCATGAAAATGAGTCGGTAGTGAATTAATGATTAATTTCTAAAAAGGTTAGCGCTTTAGGAAAGCCTCTTTTTATAGTAATGACTTTCTATTTTTACTCGTTCTTTCTATATTAATTAATTAATGACTTTCTATCTTTAACTCGTTCTTAGTAAAAAAAAACAACTGATTAAGTCGAAGAAACACTGTGTATATAGCTTACAAGATTAACTATAACTGTCTACATTAAGTTCAATAAGTCAAAATTAAACAACACATAAAAAAAAGAATCTGATTTATATAAGCAATAATGACAGTTTAGGGCAAGTGGAAAATGCAAGGAGACATCTTTATTTTCCAGGGTTCCAAGCAGATCCAAATGAGCTCAAGAAATTACAAGAAGTTGAAAAACACTTAAATAAGTGCACAAATTATAGAAAAGTTTGCGATTGGGGTAATGTTTTAAATGAATGTGATGCTGCAATTGATTCTGGAGCCGATTCTTGTCTTCAGGTAATTAAAAAAAAAGGAATTACTTTTGAATAAAATTATTAATCTTAAATTTATGTTTGGATGTTGAAACTGAATGTGTTTGAAATCGAATTGACAGCTATTTGCATGTAAAGCAGAAGCATTGTTGAAGGTGCATCGATTATATGATGCTGATGTCAGCATGTCTTATGTGGCTACATTTGAAGCATCTTGTAGTCTTTCGTGTCCCCAAGAAAACTTCTTTGGGATGCATCCGGAAGCATACCTTTTGTTTGTTCGTGCTCAAATCGGCATGGCAATGGGAAGGTACTTCCGCGTTTCTTAGTAGGGGCAAAATTGTAAAAACAAAACTATAACCAAATATTTACACAGAAGGGGCAAAATTAGGAATTCGGTCCAGGGTCAAAATCTTTTCTTATGTCAAAAGTCTCCTATAGAAGTAGCTTGTTCTAACCTCCACCTTATCCCACAACCATGTGGGAATTTGGGTATAATAAAAAGTTTATAAAGTAGGGGCAAAATTGGAAATTAGGTATAATCAAATATTTACGCACCAGGGGCAAAATTGAGAATTGAGTCGATGGTCAAAATCTTTTCTTGTGTTAGAGGTCTCAGTAGCTTGTTCTAACTCCCACCTTATCCCACTACCATGTGGAAATGGGGGTATAGTAAATTTTTTACAAAGTAGGGGCAAAATTGGGAATAGGGTATAATCAAATATTCACACACTAGGGACAAAATTGGGAATTGGGTCGAGGGTCGAAATCTTTTCTTGTGTTAGAGGTCTCCTATGGAAGTAGCTTGTTCTAACCCCTACCTTGTCCCCACTACTATGTGGTAATTTGGATATAATAAATTTTTTACAAAGTAGGGGCAAAATTGGAATAGGTTATAATCAAATATTCACACACTAGGGGCAAAATTGGGAATTGGTCGGAGTGACAAGATCTTTTTCTATGCCGAGGTAGCTAGCCTCTCTGACCCTATTATGGGTACTCAGTATAGTGTTGTAGGGGCAAAAATGCAAAATTGTCATTGTAGGGGCAAACTTGTAAAATTGTCGTAACCATTTGTTTCTTTTTTTCTTGTTAAAGATTCGAGAACGCCGTTACAAGTATTGAAAAATCAGGACAAATTGACCCACGAAATGTCGAGATTGCCCTTCTTCTCCAAAACTTTAGGTCAGTGTCTAGGGCTCGGGCACGTGGGAATGATCTTTTTAAGTCAGAAAGATTCACGGAAGCTTGTTCGGCTTATGGCGAAGGGCTTCGGTTTGATCCTTTGAATCCGGTTCTTTATTGCAATCGGGCAGCTTGTTGGTTTAAACTCGGGCAGATGGAAAGATCTCTTGATGATTGTAATCAAGCGCTTCTTATTCATCAAAATTACACCAAAGCCCTTCTTCGTAGAGCTGCTACATATAGTAAGGTATACAACAATACTATTTTTTAGCCTCTATTAAGGGAATATCAACTTACTATATATCTTTTACCCATAATAGCAACGTATATTTTAGCCTCTATTAAGGGCTACCAATATTGTCAATGTACTTTGTTAAATATTGCTATTTTTGGTAAGGCAATGTAAGCAAGTTGCTATTATGGGTTATATATATATTGAGATTATTAGTAACACACGTACATACACTGTTATTATGGGTAAAGAAATGTAAGTATATTGGTATTAATATTATGAGTAAAGAAATGTAAATACATTGTGATTATGGGTAAAAAGTAAAATGTGTTCCTTATATTGGTAAAAAGGAGTAAAGTACGTTGCTATTTTTTTTTCCCAATTTGCCCTTGCAAGAACTAGTGATTTTAGAAGGAAAAAAGAAAGAAAGATAAGTATGAAGTTTTTTTACATCTACAATTTTCTTCATAGTGTGTACAAAATCACCCGTTTTTGCAAATCTTGTCTCTTTTTGCATTGTCACAACTAACAAGAACATTGGTTAATTTGCATTAATATTTGATAAGAGTATATTACATTGCTATTATATGTAGTTTTTGTGTTTTCAATTTGTGATCCTGAAAACTTCTTGATACAACAGCTTGACCAATGGGCTGAATCTGTGAAAGATTATGAAGTTTTGAGAAAAGAGCTTCCTAACAACAACGATGTAGCAGAATCTTTATTCCATGCTCAAATTGCTTTGAAAAAATCATGTGGTGAAGAAGTATATAACATGAAATTTGGGGGTGAAGTTGAGTTAATTACAAGTCTTGAACAGTTTAAATCTGCAGTTGCTTCAACCGGTTAGTTTTAGTAAATCTTTTATGCTATTAGTTATATTTTGATTCATCAATTTAAACTTGTATTAAATCTTGAAATTTATAAACCACAGGAACTTGTATTGTTCTTTTTGAATCATCATCCGATATACGATGCAAGCAGATGTCAACATTTGTAGACACGTTATGCTCCCGATATCCATCCATAATATTTCTCAAGGTAAACACTAATTTTTTTTTTTTTTTTTTGTTTTCTTTGAATTTTAGTTGTTTCATTAAAACCCCATCTTTTGAAACATAAACAACAGTAAAGGGTATCCTAAAGAATCAAAAAGTTTAAAACTTTTTCACTACTAAAGCTAAATTACAAGAGTGAGGCTATGTTTGAGAAAATGAAGACACATTTGGGGAAATGGAAGGAAAAAATAAAAGTAAATTTGTAAAAGGTTGAGACTTAATGGGTCTATTCTTTTTCTTTTCACATTATATACAATATGGACAATGTGTTTAATGGATAAGTGATGTGTAGGAAGTCTTTTATGAATAAAGACTGTTCCACTTTTAGACTGAATGAACTGTCTAGATGAGTGTAAATGGCCTTTTTACCCTTCTGTGTCTAGAAGGGATGCCTAATGAACAATGACTATTTACATTTGTGTAGAAACACGATCTTTGACTTTGAATGTTTACTAATCTAGACTAATTCATATTAAAAGGTTGATGTGGAAGAAACCCCACTAATTGCAAAAGCTGAAAATGTAAGTGTTGTGCCAACAATCAAGATTTACAAAAAGGGTAATCGAGCAAAAGAAATGGTATGCCCGAGTAAAGAAGCAGTGGAATCATCAGTCAAGCACTACAGTTCGTAAGATCTTGTGGATCAAAAAGATTTTCATATTCTATTGCATAAAAGGCATGATAATTTAACCATTAAAGCGCCAAATTTTAGAGTCGATGTGAAGAGGAAAAACTGGAAATGGGTAGGTTAGTTGGAGTTTTGTAGTAAAAATGTGTATTAATTTGTAAAACAACATTGTTATGTTGTTGAGTTTCATTCATTTATGGGGTATTATAAGTGGGATGTGTAGATGTATATGTATGTGAAGATGGTGATACAAACAACAAAATATTGCAACTTGGGGGGGGGGGGGGGGGGGGGGGGGGGGATAGGGTTGTGGGGATTATTTGTATGCGGTGATATTTTAGAGTTTTTGATTTCATCAATGGAAATAACTTCTTCATCTTAATTGCATTCTAAACAACAATATACAAATCCTATAAGAATAGGATAAAGGAAGAGGTAAAATGCAGACAATTGAACTTGGAGTTGAGGGTAGAGAGACAACTTCTACTAATGTGTCTCTTCCAAAAAAAACTTCTACTAATGATGTCCTTAGTAAGACGTGAACAAACTGATGATCTATGCCATGAAAAAAATACGAGTTTGAGATAAACGATTCAAGGTTCTCCGACTTTATAATTGACTCTGGTTATATATATATATATTATATATATATATATATATATATATATATATATATATACTTGTACATGGACATTGTAAGATCCATTCCTGGTTCGATCGGCTAAAGACTTTGAGATTTAGAGAATGAGGTTTTGGGAAAAACCTTATGTCACAGTGCATTTTCTTGGTGTCCACGGCACAGCCACACCAATTAAATGAAGATTACATTTGTTTGATGTCTGCGACGCGATGCTGGTTTGGCCTGCGGTGCGGTGGCTGCCACATCCTAAAACCCTAGGTCTTGGGCCTTGGGTCCTATTTAACAAATGTTTGTTTAGGGTTTGCTCATTTCCTCCAACCTCTTCCTTCAGAAAACCCTAGCCTCTTTTTACTCCTTTCTTCCTTCTTTGATGATTTTAGTGTCTTGGGAAGCCTTGTTGTGAAGATTCAAGAGTTGTTGTTCTTAGCTTTGACCCAAGATTCATCATCTTTCTTGATCTATTTTGGACCTCTATAAGTCTTCAAGGTTACAACTTTATGCTTATAGTTTAATGGATCTTGGTTTATATTGTAAAACCCGGTTTCCAGATCGGATCTATTTAGGGCTTCAAGGAGTCAAGGGCATGGGTTTTGGGTAAAACCAAGGCTCACGACGTGACCATAGAAGGGTCACGACGTGAAGAGTAATTAAATGAAGATGATAAATTATTCTGAGCTCACGACGTGGACAGTAAGAGCTCACATCGTGAGATGCGCTGCAGCCCAAGCTCATGATCTTTTATGGGTTCCTTTGTATTTAAACCCCATAAACTTCATTTTAGGATTCCAAAACAGCCTCCTTCGTTCCTAAGCTCAGTAAAACCCTAACCCTATCCTCTCATCGTGATTCTTGAGCTTTTGGTGTGTTTTGGTGGTTTGAAGAAGAAGAGATCACCATTGAAGCATAGTTTTAGCATGGAAGTTCCATTTCCAACCTCTAGCTACACATCTGGACCATTATGAGTAACCAAGATCCAAGCTTTATGTTCCCTTATTGCTAGATCTAAGGTTTTATGCGTATTTATCCCCGACTTTAAGAGTTAGAGTGTTGGGACTCCATAAACTTGGCAACTTTATGGGTCCTTAGGGTCCCTTGGTGCTTGCATGTTATGGATCTGAGTTTTTGGAGGATGTTTGAGTTCATGCTTGCGAATTTATCTCCTTTTCTTCATGAATGACATAGCTTGAGCTCAAATCTTGTATTGGACATACAAGACCTTAAAGCATCAGTTTTTATGATCCTAAGAGTGTTAGGAAGCCTCCTGGAAAAGATGGGTTAGTGGCTTAATGGATTAAAAAGTTTTTGGATCAAAATAGCATGTAGAATGATATCACGACGTGAGGATATGCCTGTCACGTCGTGAGGATTATGAGACTCGACTGTTTTGTCTTGTAGTGGCTCACGACATGAGCCATAGATGGTCACGTCGTGAGGGTCTGTGTACTGTTGACTTTTGTTGACCATTGAATTTTTGACAAAGTTTGACTTCGGGTCAAACTTGAGGGTTTTGGGCTATTGATTGAGATTCTATCTGGTTCTGGTGTTATTGGATTCGCTGGAGCAGGCAGTGTTGAAAAGGGATCGTATCACAGTGTTTCAGAGTTCTTCAATTCAGGTGAGTTTTGCGTCATTGTACCCGTGGGTCGAAGGCACCAATGTCGGCCCACTAGTTTTGGTTATCTTTAGTAGAGGGATGCCATAGAGATTGTATATAGTCATGTAGGATAGACTGAGGACTCTTGATCTAGGATTTCTTGCTTGTTCCTTGTTTGGTTTTGGTTCTAGAGTAGGATCACATGTCTGGGTGTCTATCTCACCTCTGAGTATATACGGTTATGTATTCCTTGGATTGTTGGTATTTGGTATGTTGCTATGTTGTAGGGATCTGTTAGATTTGTATCCTGGTATATAAGATGTTGTTATGTTGTAGTGATATGTTAGATCTGTATCCTTGTATATAGGATGTCGCTATGTGGTAGTGATCTGTATATCTGTATGCTTTACCTGTACTTGCTGATTATCATCTAGTGGAGTGCCCTAGGGATTGTATGTGGTCATGTAGGACAGCTTGAGACCTCTTGATCTAAGCTTTCTTGCTTGTTCCTTGTTTGTTTGTGGCTCTAGAGTAGGATCATCTGTTCGGGTGACTATCTTACATCTGGTTACTTATGGTCACACACTTCATGGATGGTAGCTGGTAGCGGGAAAGTGTGCGATGTGAGGACTAGTAGGTGGTAGTGAGTTGTATCATTGATGTTTTCCTATATTATGTGCCTACTTGATCCTTGTTTGTTTATATGTCGACATATGGTAGTAGTGGGTGGAGGCAGTCTTGTTGTGTGCTATAGGCCAAGATACCTGATGCGGGCCAACTATAAGTTGTTGGCACGGAGGCTCGGGATGAGCGGTTGGGTGAGGCGGTATGCCAACAGATCCTGGGCATTCCAGTTTGATGGCCATTATGTATGCTTGTATGTTTATCGTATGTGGTATTTTTGGGGAACCTCACTAAGCTTTGTGCTTACTCAGTTATTTATTGTTTCAGGTATCATCGGTCGTCATGGGAAGGCGAAGAAGTGACTTTACACATTCATCAGCACCAATAAAGATTTTGTGCTTTAATATTACTCTGATTTTCAATAAATGTATTTGGGAATAAACGGTTTTCTTCATAATGGGTTGATAACTGGGAAGTTTTACTTAAATAAAATGAAAATTTTTTGTTGTGAAAATGGGACGTTACAAGTTGGTATTAGAGCCCTGGTTTGAGCGAGTTGGAGGAACACTTTTGTAAATCCAGTCTCAAACTAGGATCCGAGAGTTTTTTCAAAATGTTTTGAAAAAGAATTTATAATAAAAGGGTTAGGTTAGGGATATGGGCTCCGTCTCTTGTCATGTTCTTTTTTATTGTTGGTTTGGGATCGGGAATGTGGACCTTGACTTAACTTTGGTTTTTCAAGAAGATGTGGTGTGTGCAGTCAGCCAGATCCCGAACAAGAGAGTGGTTCCTAAAATACCCATACTTGTTATAAGCACTGAGTTCTTGATTTTGTTGATATGTGAACTATTAGGAAGCATGCTAGTGGATAATATAGGGTTCTTATAGGAACCGTTGGATATAAGTTCCTGATTTCTATGATGCCTTATGATATAGGGAATTGCTTGCTATAAGCTACTTGATTGTGTGATTGCTACGTGTATGTTGATTAGTTGTATATGGTCGGGATTAAATAGCGTTAGAATGATCGACTTGGCCTTCATGTTTCTTGTTTGGTTGTGGATTTAGGGCAGATTTGATTATTCGACAGTTTATCTGACCCCGTATTGTGTATAACAAGCATGCACAAAAGCATCCAGTGGTGTGGAAGCGAGGGAAATCCTAGGAATAGTGCCTAGGAATTTAGTTATAGCTCGTAGGAGAAGTAGGTATTAGCATACCTAGGGGTGGTTTAGTGTAGTAACTTAGGACCCTGGGATGAATTCTAAATCGACTACGGATAGGTGTGGAAGGTAGTATGGGCCCGTACTACTGAGAGCACAGGATCCATATGAGATTCACAAGGAATTTCAAGGTTACTTAAGGAACTAATAGGAGTGTGGCCTAGTGTGTTGAGCATTATGTTTTGATGTTTGATCTTTCTATGGTGTATTTAAGTATGACGTCTATTGAAGGTTTAGGATCAGGACCTGGCAACACTGGGATAGCAGGTCTGAGTGAGGAGGAGATCCATGGGATCATTGTTGCAGAGGCGATCAAGGAGGCGACTCCGGGTTTGTTTGGGTTGGTCAAGACTATGTTGATCGAGGAGTTTTACCAGCGCTATGCTGCCATCACGCAGATAGCTACTGCCACCATCACGCAGATAGCTACTGTCACAGCCACAAAAATCGTCACCATTACGAGATCTCAATGAGGCGAGACGATGTTGTACCGGGAGTTCAGTTATACGAAGCCTCCAGAGTTCAGAGGCGACAGGGACCCGATCATCGCTTCAAGGTGGATTTTTGATGTGGAGGGATGTTTCTTCATGTGTTCATGTCCTGAAGGCCAGAAGGTGAATTTTGCACCGAATCTTCTTCGTTGGGGTGCGAAGGATTGGTGGGAGTTTGTGACCCAGGGATTTTCGTAATCCGAGCGAGCCGCAATGATGTCGGAGCAGTTTCTGGACATGTTCCAGGCGGAGTATATTCCTCTTGTGGAGCGGGAACGACTGGCTCAGGAGTACCCAGATCTGAGACAGACGACCGAGTCGGTGACGGAAATCACCAAGATGTTCATTGAGAGGGCTTTGTTGAGTCCTAAGTTCGCTGCTTCAGAGCAGACTCATATGACTCGGTACTGGAGCATGCCCAAGACGGATATTTGGCAGCTTGTGTCTACCCTGCAATATAGTACCCTCGCTGAGCTCCAGGATGTCGCGCGGAAGGTAAGAGATTGAGATAGAGACCCAGGTGAGGGAGCAACGTCAGGCTCCGGTTCAGTTCCTGCCTGCAGCGAAGCGATTCAAGTCCGCCGGCCGGAGTTCGGGATCAGTTGAGGGGAGGTGCATATCCTTTGTATGTCACATGTGTGGCGAGGAGGGCCATTTTGGTAGAGATTGCAAGCGGAGTGTGCAAGTTTGTTTCCATTGTGACCAG